TCCATAGGGTTCTCCACCTGGGAGGGCGGGGGGCGAGCAGAGAAGCTGCCCGCCCTGAGCGGCCGCGAGGTGCCTGCCGGTGGGAGGTCGCACGGCACGCGACGACGGTGGCCCAGCCCGTGCCTAGGGGTTGTGCTCGCCCTGGCGGTGGTAAGCAGCTCTCCAGGGTTTCTCTGTGCCCAGGCTGCCTGTTCACCTGAGGGACAGCCAGCTGGCACTGTTTGCGCAGGATGGGGAAGCATGGAGGCTTCACGCTAGGGTTAAACAGCCAGTAAAGGAGGGGACTTTTCCCTATTAAAGGAGCTGTTCGTATGATCTGGTGTGCGAAGGTATCGGCGACATTTAGAGAAGAGGGGAAGAGAAATTTTGGCCCAGGCCATCACTTTATAGCCTCAGCATCACTGTGTCCTGTGGGGCCAGGAGAGAAGAGGCAGCAATCATTAGGTCACCTGGTCTTGGTGACTTTGAGCAGAAGCATCTGGGAGAGGCCCAGCTTGCTGCCTCCATCCACGGGCCTGGGGCAGCCCTCACAGTGATACCCACAGGTCTGCCCAGACATGAGCATGGACTACAAGCCTTTGAGTCATGGCTTAAGTCTCCAGCTATCAAAGCAGCCTGCTGGAGCCTCCACCCTGAGATCCTTTTCCTCCCCATCCTCCACCCTGTCTCTTCTCATGGAGCGTCTCTTGCTTTCTGCTCTTTGATGCCCAGCATTGCCTGCACAAGAGCACGTCTGGACTGGCCAGCAAGCGGGGGGCTGTGGGGGCTCTTTCCTATGCCAGCAGGGAAAGATCAAGTCATCTTAGCACCCTGTACCCAGCTTGCTGGGAGAGGACCTTGCTGGGATGTTGAGGCTCAAGACCCTTCCCGAGCTGGAGCAGCAACACCTGTAATGAAATCAGGGTGCTTCCAGGAGACACTTCAGTTTGGGGGGATTCTTTGCTATATAGTTTGTTTTTTTTTGTTTTGTTTTCAAATCAGCTGTGATAAATGTTTGCATGTGAAATAAAATCCCAGCTTTGCAGTCCCCGGCGGTGAGCTGGAGGGGTGGGCGCAGCACGGTTGCGGGCAGTTCAGCCCAGGAGCTCCTGCTGCAGACAGGCAGACTGTGACTGTGCTGGTTTACGTTCAGTTCGAGCTTGTAAGGTTTTTCCATGTAGCCCCAAGGAGGAAAGCCATTGGCTTGGAATCAATAATTTGGAAATTAAGTTTATGTAATCACTGTCTCTGGGTGTGTGTTTGTCCTCATCTGTCTGCCTGTCTGTCCCTAGTAATTTTTAGCCTACTGGCCAGCTTCCACCAAACAAGGCAGAGGTGTAGCACAGCTCAAGGTATTCGGTGTATGGAAGGGTCATGACAAAGTGTGGCAGTGTAAAGAAGCCAAGACCCTGTTAATGGAGGGGAGAGGGAGTTGCGACATGAACTTAAGCCGTATAAGACACCAGAGAATCCCCACAAGAGAGCTGTTGTGACTGTCTTGTCTGTGGGGAATTCTCAGCTGGAGGTATGTGTCTCTATTAGATGCTGGAGAGCCCAGCTGTGGGCCAGCGATCCCCCGGAAAGCAGGTGTCCTTAGCGTGAGTGGTCATGGAGCTGCTCTTCCTCAGGTGAAAATGTGTCTCGGCAGGGTCTGGTGTTGGAGCCTCATAGTGATGCCAGGGTTTGGAGAACCGGCACCTTTCTCAGCCAGTCCCAAAGGCTCCCGAGCAGGCCGTGGTGTGTAATTTTAACGAAGAAGATAATTTCTCAGTGTGGTGGGTGGGGGCAGAGCTGCACCTCAGGCTGTTTCTGTCTGGCAGCTAGTGGTGATGCAGAGCCCTGATAAAGCCTCGATAATGGCTCGAGTTTGCATGAGAAACAGCAGATTAGGGGCTGGTGCCACATTCAGACATTGCCTGGGACTAGGGAGAAGGAAATGGTGATCCTGGCCTGCCAGGGCGTGTTGCAGGAGCCCAACCGAGGACTTGTCTGCAGCAGGCAATCGCTTGGAGCCTGCCTTGTTGCTCCTGGCTGAGGTGGCTCTGCCTCTGGGAGGAGCTCCCAGTGCAGGTGGGCTGCTGGAGTGAGGTGCTGAATTGTGGGCTGCGTCGCTCTTAGTCCCTTACAGAGTGATGCTGTGCTTTGTAAGGGAAGGGAGGCTGTGTGTGCTGGTCCAGGCTACCCGCGGATGTTCTCTAAATGTCTCTAGTGTCTGCTGGGCTCCGGGCAGGATCAGGGCTCTGGCTCATTGCAGGGGCCAGGGCTATCTTGGGAAGGGGCACTGTGCTGGACCCTTCCTCTCCGAGTCTGGCTGGCTGTGTGGGATTCCCATTTCTGAAGGAGTGTTGAGGCCGCACGTGACAATGTGCGGAGCTGCACGCTCAGCGTTTGCTGTGCTCTTGTGAAGCTCGCACGTGAAAGCTGTTAACGCCTTTCAGCCCATGCGTTTGCTGCTGCGGGATGTTCTGCAAGTGCAAAGCACGGAGAAGTGGACATGTAACTGGTGGATGTTCTCCAAATGAAACTCTCTGCTTTGAAAACCTCTCTGCTTCCTTTTGGGAGAGTATCAGCAACCTTCCTTAAATCAGGATGCAGCAAAGCGTTGGCTGCCTAGTGGTGGTGGCGTCATGGTTCCAAAGCTTGTCTGTTCTTTCTGATTATATAAGTTGGGCTGTAAGAAAGGTCCTTGCATCTCTTCTCTAATTAGGAAGTTTACTGGCCGGAGTAACCAGAACAAGCGTGGCAGCGACATGGTGGGGCTCTCGGTTGGCTGAATTAGCTATTCTTAATGCTTTCTCTCTGTCCGTTGTAGTGCTAAGGCGTTCCAGTCATGGACCAGGACCCCATTGTGCTGGACACGGTAGAAGCATGGAACAAGAAGACGCTCCCAGTGCCGCTCAGTTCGCAGCCTAAATACAAGGCAAGTGCGAGGGCTGGAGTGATCTGCGTAACGGGGGCAGTGCAGCCAGTGTTGTGGGTTCCCGAGCATCCTGGAAAGGGAAGGAAGCTTGTTGCTGAAAGGAGAAGAGAGCTGGCTCTCTGAAAGGTTACGGGGGAGCTCTTCACAGGCTGGGACAAAACCCTGTGTGTTGGTCTGCCACTGCGTCTCAGGCCTTAGCTTTGCTGCCTCTTTGCAGCCTCTCGCGTTAGGCATGCGGTGCCAGCTCTTGCCCCGCGGATATTCCAGCGCAGCCTCCCCGGAGCCCTGAGCTGACTGCTAATGACTCGCCAATAGTGCGGCAGCATCCCATGCACTGAAAAGGCAAGAGAGGTCGGCACTGCAGGGCCGTTCCCTGACCCCGGCTGGGTGCCGGGAATCCCGGCCTGCGTGGGGTCTGCACTCGTCTTTCTAGCCCCTCCTCTTAAATAAGATGGGGAAAGAAACCCAGCAGGATTTAGGAGCTCAGGGCAATCGAATGCTACCATGTTCAGCTGATAACTCTTCTCCTCTGCTAGCTGATGTAGGTGGCCAGTCCCCGGCAGCTCTCAAAGAGCACAGACAGCGGTGCCAACCTCCGCAAGAGGAGTAGAAATCTAGCTAATCACTCTGGGATCTGTGCTACAGCATCTCCTAGATTAATAACAAGGCCCTGTGGCTCAGGCTTTCAAGGTGCTGGAGGCTTTAGAGGTGCAACCGTTGCTGCTCTGTCGCATCTGGTTTGAAGCAGCGGGAAAGTGCTTTGCTTTTATGTGTGTCCCGTGTGGTGCTGGTTATGCTGGCGGCCATGCATGGGGACTGTGGAGCCTCTGAGCTTTCTTTAATCCCTTTGGAAAGCTTTTTTTATTGAGCTTGTTTGTGTGGAGTAGAATGAGGCACCGGGTTACCAAATAGCATGCCCTCTAACACAGGGAAGGCTTGATACTGAAACAACAGTAACCAGAGAACTGAAATATTAGAGATAAAATTAAAATATAATGAGATTAGGTAGTGGCTTTTCTATCAGAGACCTCCTTATGCAGAGATAATTACCTGGGAAGAGCAGAAAGCACGTTATTAGCAGCGATGGCAGTGCAGCACCTCAGCGGTGGGCTGGGAGGTACGGTGCCAGCCTGAGCCGCTGCTTGGGTGTGGGAGTGCTGGTAGCTGTCCTTGCCGGGGGCACGTGGGTTAGTGACTCTCAGCATCCAGGAAAGGCACGTGCCACGTCCGGTCTGTCCATGCGCTGTCTTCAGGGATGAGTCATGGCTGATGATAGTTAGAAACCTCCCTGTGCAATTGGTTGGCATGCATCTGATACCTGCCTTCTCCAAGCCCGGGGCTTTCCCCTCCCTGCTTCTGGCTGCGCTCCCACCCTTTCCTCAGCCTGGGTGCCCCGAGCCTCATCCGATGAGCTCTTTGGGTGCTTTGAGGATCGGGCGTTGAGCTGGCAATGGCTGGGCTCGCGTCTCCGTCAGGCTTCACCAGGTGCTCAGGAAGGGCTCTGCCCACAGCCAGGGTCCCACGGAGGGAGGCTTTCCTTGAGATGCTGCGTAGTCGTGGTGCGTTGCTGGCAGATCCTGTGGATGGGTGGATGAACGGTGGGGATGGGGAGGGCGATACCCCTGCGTGAGGACCAAGACCAGCCTGTGCCACAGACAGCGTGTGCCACCCTGCAGGTGCTGCTGCCTCCATAGAAGGATGCTGGCACGTGCAATAGCCTTCTGGGGAGGGTGAAGGGGGAACAAAGCCCACTTCTAAGTGGGTAAGAGATAGGACCTCATCCTCCTGTCCATGCTTAAATGCAGTTTTGATTGGCATCTGTCCATAAACAGCAGTTCTGCAAAAGAAGAGAGGTCAGCATTGAACCTTGGAGAACTAAGACAAAGTGATGGCAGGAGGATATTTAGGATGTAGTGCCCAGCCAAACCTAATGTAGTGCTGCAGAGGGAGAAAGATGCTGGCAAAGTGAGATCACCAAGGGAAGGTGGAAGAAAAAGGGCTTGGTGAGATGTACAGTCGGAGAGAGATACATCAGGGCCACCACTTCAGAGCAAAGGACCTTGCGCCGCCCTCGTGGCAGCATCAAGCAGCCCCTGCGAGAGGGGGATGGAGAGGGGGACAGCTTCAGATATTTCCCTGTGTGCATGCAACTGTTCCCTGCGTTGTCACACTTCCCTGACTGTTTACTGGTCTCATCCAAGTTGTATACGTCTCCTTCTTAATGCAATGCAAAGAGAGACCTTCCTCCTTCACCCTTGCAAACAGCTGCCTTTGGAAAGGAGCGTCACTGGAGCAGGGTGCTGAGCTGCTTGTAGAGGCGATGCACAGACAGCAGAAGGGCAGGAACAGAGCCAGGGTCTCGGTGTTACTTTTCTTTTCCTTTCCATAGCAGAGCTGTATTTGTTTTAGCTGGCGAAGGAATTCTTCCTTTCGGCACACCTGTTCCCCGCGGCGGGCTCCCTAAAGCCAGCCGCCACGCTTGCTTGCGCTCCGGCATTGTTCAGCTGGAGTCATTTGCAGAAGCAGGCCTGGGGATTTTCTCTACTGGGAGCTTTCTAAAAAGCACCGTGCCATCTGGTGCCTTTAGAAAGGCGCCGGCTTGATCCTCGGCAGTGTCTTTACAAGGCAAGAGTGACTCGGTGAGACCCGGAGGGAGGGCAGCCCGGCAGTTCCTGCATGAGCCGAGAAGTGGCTCCCTGGTCCCCCCGCCACATCCCGAAAGCAGGTCGAGCGGGAGGGATTGCGAAGGCAGAGACACCGAGGCAGGGGGTGACCCTGCTGCCCGCACGGTCGCCCGCTCTTGCTTTCCCGGGCAGCCTGGTGGGGACAGCGAGCGGGACAGCCGTGTGCCTTGACAGCGATGTCTGCATCACAGTTTTCCCCTTCAGAAACTCCTGCCAGAAACCCAGCGGAGGGCAAAGGGCTTTAGTCTCTTCTTGGCGATAGCTCCACGGAGCCGTTTTCGGCAGCGGCACCCTGCTGCCACTCACCTGGAGCGGACCCTGCTCGGCTCGGCCGAGCCCTTGCAAATTCAATCCGTCCCAGCCTGGCTAGGGATGCTTGAGCAGTAAGGCTGTAGGCAAGTCCTGCGTTTGTTCATCCGTTACGTTCACCTATTACTTTAAACTTTCCTGCTGTGTGTGCTTCTTCATATGTTTGCGGTCTGGGGGATTTGTTGTTGTTCTTCTAGAAAATTGCACAAGGCAAGATTGGGAAGTGCTGATTTAGATGGCAATACTGCAAGGCGGGCGCAGAATTGGTTGGAGAACCCAATTCAAACACTAGTTATCAATGGTTCACTGTCAAACTGGCAAGATGTATGCACCGAGGGTCCATAGAGGCTGGGCTCGGGTGCAGCGCTAGTCAATATTTTCATTAATGGCTCGGATGATGGAAAAGAGTGTGCTTATTAAATCTGCAGACAACATCAAGTTGGGAGGAGCCGCGAGCCTGTGGGAAGACGAGGCTGGAATTGAAAATGATCTTGAGAAATTGGAGGAATAGCCAGGACGGGGAAATGTAAGACGCAGTTCAGGAAGGACAAGCACCAAATACTGCAGCCAGGCGGGAATTACCAACCGTGCAAACAGAGGGATGGAGACTAGCTGGTGAAGCTGCAGTCGTGCA